TATTTAAAATATTTTAATTTCGCTCCATTTTATAAGTTACAGTCCCTACAAAGTTAAAAATTAAAATTGACTACACAGATTTTTATACAAACCAAGTTCTATCTGAGCATTTTTCTTATAATCATGAACACTTGAAACCCTTTTACCCCACGAGAAAGCAGCTCTAACCCGAGTAGAGCGGCTGCTGCCCTCGAAGCAGGTTAGCGAAACACTGCGGATTCGACTTAACACGGGAGCCGATCTAAACTGATAACGAGCAGGAAATTCAGAGCTGAAGGTAAAAGCAGCTCCTGACCTGCCCCATTGTTCCTTCTTCGCACAGGGAGGCTCTCATCACGCTGGGTGACCTGGCATCTCATCTGGACTAAATACCAGAGCTGAATGCATCTATTTAAGGCAGATGTAGCTTCATCCTTGAATTTCCAGATTTAAATCACTGCTGTCCTTTCTCATTTGTTTTCTAAAGTGGCAGCTTCTGTAAGAGTAACTGAAGAAAAATAGGTTTCCTATGGGAGAGGGAGTTGGGAGACTAGTATACCCCTCTCAGTTGTGTGTAAGAACCGCTGAAGTTTAAATTTACCAAATATGTCAACCCTCAATATTAACACTGTCCTATGAGTGAAGTTAGATTTACAAATAAAGCCTAAGAAAAAAATTTTAAATGACAAGCTTATAGTTCAAGCCATCATGACTCAACTGTAGCATCAAAACTGTGCAAAAATATTTAAATTTAAAAACTATTTATAAGAATGCCCAATTATTTTTTTGCTCCTAAATTTTGCCATTGACTCTAATACCTAACTTCCATCAAAACTACCCCTTCGTTGTCTTTTTGAAACCTTCAGATTTCAGACCATATTCCATACTCAGCCACAGAACTAGGCCATGCAAAAAATAAAATAAAAACATACACATAAAATTCTCCTGTTCTGGCCAAAAAAAAAAATATATATATATATATGAGTTTAGAGTGAGAAACTATGAGGAATCCTTTAAGTCAATATACATTTCACGTGCTCCATTTGAAAGCAGCCACATTGAAGAGAGGTCTCCTTCAGATAAGTTCACTTGTGCGTCACCACTGTTACTTTTGTCCTTTAATGCCAGGTTTGCTTTTACTATTAAGAATGACAGAAGAGGCCGGGCGCGGTGGCTCACGCCTGTAATCC